TGGCGGGGGCGGCCGCCTGGAGCCCCACTCCCCGCCCTGACTCAGCCCTGGGCAGGGTCAGCCCCACGGAAGAAGGGCGGCCTGTGGGGAAAACAGCCTGCAATAGCGCCTGCAGGGCAGCGCGCCCTGCCTCGTCAGGTGCTTGAGCGAGGCCTGAGGCTTGTCTTGCAACCAGAAGGATTTTCTAATCAAAGCATCATTTGAGCCCTAAGGCCACAGCTTAAGCTACCCAACTAAATGTCATAGCATGCTAAGGCTGGTGTCTTGCAGGGACTGGCTGGTGCAGGAGGGCATGTGCCCCACTGGCATAGCAGGGACTGACCCAAGAGCGGCAGGGCTACAGCAAGGTGCTTCTGAAATGCAGGTTGGCTCTGCTTCACACCAGCTGCTTGGACAGCTGGGCTCTGCCACCAACAGGCATGCAGCCTTAAAGACAAAAGCTATGGTGTTGCTAACAGCAGTCAGGAGAAGTGAGTCCCTTGCATTCATGAATTTCCCCATCGCAAACAGGCGTATGATGACTGCGAAACCTGGGCTGGGGCTGCAGATAAAATCTAAATGACTGAATTAAAATAGCAGTGCATTTTGAACAAGAGTGCAAGATGGTGGCTAGGACCATGCACAATAAAGCAATCCCAACTGATTTCATCTTCTGTGCTAGTTGCAAATGTATCCAAATGTTTTATTATGCAAAATCATCATAGTGTTTGTAATCACCTGAAAGTTTTAACAGCTAGGAAAGAAGCCGTCCTGCACAAAAGACTGTGGCTGGGGCAAAATTGAGTTGTAGTGACAAGACTGCCACAAAGACAATCAGCCTCCGCTAAAAATTCACTAGGTGTGCAGAAAGTGGAGCTTGTGGCATCCAGTACTAGAACTACACTATGAGACAGTGGTTACCCACCAGTCAATGGATCCACTGGTCAATCCCAAAGTCCATCTGAGGCTGGGGGGGGCTGAGCCCTGCCCCCCAGCCCAGCAGGTGGGGAGGGAAGGGGCAGGTGCCAGATCAAGGCCCTGCAGTGAGGGAAGGAGCAGCACAGAGGCAGGAGCAAGTGGTCAGGTAAATGGGGCCCCGGGGGGTGGGAGGACCGAGCCCGGGGGGGTGCACCCTGGGAGGGCACAGGGGGCATGTGCCCCTGGATCTGCATGTGGGGCAGAGCAAGTTGCCTCTGCAAGCTGGGGCTGGAGCCATGCCAAGCTTTCCCTGGCAGGGGCTGGATCACACCCTACTCAGAGCAGACAGCTGTGTTGGGAGAGGGGGTTGGGTGACTGCAACCCCCCTCCCAGCACCACTGCCTTCCTTGAGAGTAGCCAGGCCCAGCACCACCCCCTCCCCCGCCCCCGCTTAGGAAAGAGCCCAGCCCGGCCCCTGCCCGCAACGTCCACCTCGATCTATACACAGGGCAGGGGGGCTGGGGCAGTTGGCTTGTCAGGGGCTGCAAGGGCAGGCTTCAGCTGTGGGGGCCCCCCACGTGGCCCTGGACAGGCCGGTTGTCCCAGCACTGGATGTAGCAGAACAGAAACTTAAACCTGCGTTGCTCAGAGCCCAGGCAACATGGTAAACCTTGAGCTGGCAAGCCCATGGTAACTTCAGAGTGATTGTCATGGGAGACTCTATGCTGTGGGGCACAGAGGGAGCCATCTGCCATCCTGACCCCTTTGCTCGGAAGGTCTGCTGCCTTCCAGGAGCCAAGATTCATGATGTTACAGCAAGTCTGGTCTGCCCTACTGACCTGCCCTACTGACCACTACCCCAGGCTCCTTGTCCATGTGGGAACCAACAACACAACAAGAAGCAGCCCTGGGAGGATCATGAGAGACTACAGGACCACAGCAGCAAAGCTCAAGGACCTAGGAGTGCAATTTATTTTCTCCTCAGTCTTCCCAGTCAGGGGCTATGGCTGTTGGAGGGATGAGTGTATCAAGGAAGTCAACTGAAGGCTCAGAAGACGGTGTCACCGTGTGGGCTTAGGATACCTTGACCTTGGTGCGCAGTTTAGCTACGGTGGCCTCCACGCAAGGGACAGCATTCAGCTCACAAGCAGAGGGAAGAAGCTCTTTGCCACGAGTGTCACCGACTTTTTGAGGAGGGCTTTAAAGTAGGCACGTTTTGGGGCCGGAGAGGTTCCACTGCAGAAGCAGAATCCACTAGCCACAATGACACACAGGAGGGTGCTCAAACCACAGATGTCCTGATGGGTTTTAGCATCTTGAGGCAGAGACATCTTGACAGAAAACCTGATGTGACTAAGGGAAAGCTCAGATGCCTTTATGGGAATGCCAGAAGCATGGGAAATAAACAGGAGAGACTGGTACTCCTGGCTGATGAGAAATTCAACTTGATTGGGTTGACGGAGACCTGGTGGGATGATATGCATGACTGGGCAGTTAATATTGAAGGTTACAGGCTTCATAGGAATGGAGACCACGTGGGATGATATGCATGACTGGGCAGTTAATACTGAAGGTTACAGATTTCATAGGAAGGATCAGATTGGGAAGAAGGGAGGAGGTGTGGCCATCTATGTGAAAGAGCAGTATTCATCCCTGCAAGTCACCTTTGACGGCAGGGAAGGGTCCCTTGAGACCTGCTGGGTCAGGCTACAAGGGGGACCAGGAGAGGGAGACCTAATCTTGGGAGTCTACTACAGGCCTCCCTCCCAAGACATAGTGAGTGATCGAGCATGCTCAGGAGAACTAACAGAGGCAGCTAGCACTAGAGACATGATCATCATGGATGAGTTCAACTACGCAGATATTTGTTGGGAAGACCATTCGACCGCCTCCAGCAGGTCAGCCAACTTCCTGGTGACAATAGATGATCTGTTTCTGACACAGGTTGTAGAAGGGCCTACCAGGGGAAAAGCTACTCTGGACTTAGTGCTTGCCAAAGGGGAGGACATCATAGGCAACCTGAGGATTGGTGATACTCTGGGCAACAGAGACCATGACCTGATAAGGTTTACCATCTACCATAAAACTGGGAAGTTAGTCACCAGAACAGAAGTCCTGAATTTCAAGAAGGCAAATTCTGGCAAACTCAAGAGGCTCATTAGAGAGGCCCTCTGCAAACAGCATTTAGACGATCTGGGTATGCAAGAACCATGGTGCTTCCTTAAGGAGACAATTCTCATGGCTCAAAAACAGGCCATCCTCACACAGGCAAGAAGCAGAACAAGAGCCAGGAGACCTGCTTGACTCACCAGTGATATTAAGGAACTATTGAAAAAGAAAAACAAAGTGTATATGCAATAGAGGAACGGCTCAGCAACCAGAGAGGAATACACCTGTATCGCCAGGGCCTGC